CTCAAGATCCATAATTCATATCTTAATGTGTTGGTGTTATTGTTATATCATCGTCATATTATCGTTTTATTACAATAAGGCTTGTCATATATATATATATATATATATATATATATATATAGTCTTTAGAAAATAGAGGATATATAAAACAGGTAGATGTTAAAAAAATTAGAAAGTTGTAAAGGATATGAATAAAATTTGCAGTCTTTAGAAAATTGCATTTTAATCAAATTGATGGACCTAGAGTTTGAAGGTTACTGGTGCACCATGCCTCTAATGTAAATTTGTCACTAGCGACTGCGACCGAATATACTTCCTTATTAAATGTTCGGAAAAGGGTCATATATGCCAGTGGATTATGCGAATTAGGACATATATGCTCATTGTTAATAGTTTGGTACAGATATGCTTAATCCGTCCAATACTTGCTCATTCATGCCCTTAGTTTAACGGAACCATTATTTTGTCTTTCCTAAATAATTAATAACCGGGCCCAATCAAAATCTATTGACTTGATCCGTTAGGACCCGTCCCGCTCTGATTTCAAAGATATTTTTTGATATATTATTTTTGTTTGATTGAGAAATTGTGTGATAATCATATTTATTTATTTGAGTAATTTGATAATCGATTTTTTTGTTATATATTATTTGGGGAAGTAATCCTACTAAAAGTAGTAATTAATATTTATTTATTATTTCAATAATATAATATCGAACTAGTTTGTGCTTTCTTCAATTATTTTACCATCTATTTCTATTTTCACACAATCTATTTGTATTTTTCATCAATACAAATACAAATCTCCATGTTCACTATAACTTAACCTGATAGATCCGGTTTTTTTTTTTTTGTTTAGATAAGTGATCATTACATGATTGATTATTAGTTTATTGGATTATTTTCTGCATTACAATTTGTTATGAAATACGTAATAAATTGTTAAAACAATGGTGCTTCTTTTCCATTTTTATTAATTAATTATTTCATAACAAGCACCATTGTTAAAACAGTGGTGCTTCTTTTTCATTTTTATTAATTAATTATTTCATAACAAGCACTACTACATTTAGTAGGATTACTTCCCGAAATAATGTATAACAAAAAAAATATCGATTATCAAATTATTCAAATAAATAAATATGATTATCACATAATTTCTCAATCAAACAAAAATAATATATCATAAAATATCTTTGAAATAAGGGTGGGTCGGGTCCTAACGGATTGGATGAATAGATTTTGGTTGGGTCCGGTTATTAATTATTTAAGAAAGATAAAATAGTGGTTCCGTTAAACTAAGGGCATGAATGAGCAAGTATTCGACGGATTGGGTATATCTGTGCCAAACTATTAACGACCGGCATATCTGTCCTAATTCGCATAGTTCACTGGCATATATGGCCCTTTTCCGTTAAATGTTTTTCGCAATATACTTCCAGCCCAAGTTTCGTATGCCTATGGAGAAAAATTTCTGGCAATATCCTATATTAGTGGTGGCAAAATGAATTTTAAAAAAACAGTTATATATCCGTCCATATTATCCACTAAAAAATGGGTTGGATAATGAACTTTTAAAAAATTGGGTCAAATATGGATAAGATCCATATTATCTCTTAAAAAATGGATAATCAATTAGTTTAACCTTTACATTTGAAAAGACTCAAATTGGGAGTTTCTCACGTTTGGGAGATTAGGAATTCTCCCAAAAGTGATCATATTCAAAAAGCTAGCCATGAATAATATGTATATCCATATTATCCGCTAGTGAACCCATTTTCTATCCGTGTTAGATATGGGTCGTGTTGAATTATCTATTTTTTGCATGTCCGTTTTTCGGCCCGCCCATATCCAATCCGACCAGCCCGTTCGCCACCCCTACCTTGGATTGTCAAGTTGTTGAATTATCCACATGTTCCAATTTCAAAGTGATTACTGCTATCAGTTAATAGTATTATATTGACAAAATTGCATAATAATGCACTCCTTAAGTTGACCTTGCATTATTTTAGCCCACTTACAAGTTTGCAAATGTGTAGCCAAATATCAATAAACTTAGATCTGAATTTTTTTAGCCCACTTAGAGATGCCTTCCGATAAAACTTTTCAGAACTCCAAAGCATCCTGCACGATACAATCTGGGTGTGTGGGGAGGAAAAGGGCGGATTCAACAAACCCTTCCATACACAGGTCAAAAACATTTAATGGAGGTTATGAACATCCTGATAGCTTTCTCAGCTTACCTTCTTCACCTATTGAAATCTCCATTCTTAGCTAAGATATAAAGGTCATTGCCTCATCCTTAATATGTCTTTTCTTTCTCCAAGGCAAAAAAAAATTCAACACTGTCTTCCTTCACTGCTAGAAATACGATCCAAACTTAAAAGGGATACCCTGTCCAAATAAGGTCGTCCAACTTATACTAAGATCTGCATTAATCCAATAGCATTGCATTAAAGTCTAGATGCTCATCCATATGGAAGCAATATGCTCATTCAGTGTCAAAGCACTCCTGAATAGAATAGCAATAATTATTGCAGAGAGCGGTTTCTCGCATCAGATTTTAACTTATAAGATAAAAGGACATTACACATTATGGTCAAAAGTCAGAGAACAGCTCAAACAACAAAAATGAATCAAGACAACTACATCAAATACAATTGAGAAAATTCACAGTACTGATCTGCATTCTGCACAACTACATCAAGTATACTTTGCAAAGAGAAACATATTCACTTATACAAGGCTGATACATTATTTACAGGATCCAAATATCAAAAATTGCAAGTGAAAATCGTACAAAAAATTCGTCAGAAATGCTTATACACTTTTATACAATATTATACACTTTTATACAAAGAGGTATATTATATATATAGTTGTATAAAACTGTATAAAAATGAAGAGGGAGAGGAGGAGGAATAAGAAATGTATCAGCCTTGTATAAAATAATGTATAAGAGATGTTTATACACTATTATATGTTACTTATACAATATTATACACTATTATACAAATGAATCATATTAATGGAGCTTCACTGGTTCTTCTTCTTCTTTGGGCATCTTCTGAAATTCAACCTAAATCTACCTCAAATCTGCTCCAAATCACCTCAAATTTGAGTTTTGAACTCCCCTTGACGATCCCAATCAATTGGGCCAACACCCAATCCAAACAACTAACAAAATCGAAAAATCCAATTTTAAAATTGAAGCTTCGAATGACCTTTAATGGTAACTCCAAAATAGTAATTCTCTTAAGTGGTATTTTTTCTTCTCATCTTAATAGTGATTATCAACTTTAAATATGGAAGGAGAATTGAAGAATATATATAATGGTAGAGAAACTTTGGGGTGCAAAGTCGTGAAAGAGGAAGAAGAAGAAGAACGAAGAAAAGAAAAAAATAGGGTGGGCTAACTGGTGAAAAAAAATGGAATTTTTACACACTATAGAAAATATTAGTACCCTATTTATTTTAAATAAATACCATTTTAAAATATTACATCCTATAGATACCTTTTATATTTTATAGCCAAATATCTAATTATAGTTACATCCTACATTTAAGGCACCATATATACTAAATAATATTTTTCTCTCTCCTTTTTAGTCTTTTCTCTCACATAATCACCGTAAAATTGACTAACCACGTTCTCTCTCTCTTTTTGCATACACTTTACTCTTTCTCCCTCAACCCACGATTCATACCTCTTCTCCCACCCAAATTCTCTAGTTCTCCTCCATTATCACTCCATTACAATCGCTTAGGGTAAGTTTAATTCGTTGATTTTGATAGACGAAGAGCAATTGGTTCAACTGTAGCGGCTCGATTCTGCATGGCAGTGGTCGTCGAAGTAGGGTTCACAGCTTTTGCGTAATCCATGGCTTCGTTTGTGGGATTTGAGGGCTGGGAATTGTTTGTAGTTGTTGTAGGAGGTTGGGCAGATGTGTTAGGGGGCTGACCAGCCGGAATTAATGGCTGGCCGCCGGCCGGCGAAGCCATAAGGCTATTTCTCTCTCTAGATCGCCCAAATCGCCTATTTGTATTCAGTTGTATTCGAATGTATATTTCAGCTGTGTTCACATGTATTCAGCAGCATTCATTTATATATTTTAGATGTATTAAAAAGTTATGCGTATTCTCTTGTATTCAGTTTTAGTCAGTTGTATTTAACTATTTTATTAAGCAGTAGTTAGTTGTATTCAAGTGTTTTATACAACTGTATTCAGTTGTAGTTAGTTATATTCAACTATTTTATTCAGCAGAAGTTAGTTGTATTTTGTTGCATTCAAGAGTTTTATTCAGCTGTATTCAGTTGTATTTTGTTGTATTCAAGTGTTTTATTCAGATGAATTAAGTTGTATTTTGTTGTATTCAACTGTATACAGTTCTACTCAACTGTATTATTCATATGTATTTCTCTTTATTCAGCTATAATCTTTATTATGTATCTAAATACAGATTAATGAGGGATCGTTTTAGTTCGTTGAGTTAAATTAGGAGAATATCATGTGATTTGATTTCCTTCTGTTTTTAACCAGTTTAACCTTCCAGATTTTGCGCAGATACGTTACTGTATTTAACGTTAATGTCGCTTGAATACAGCTAAATACATGTCAAACTTAGCTGGAATTCCACTTTTTACACCTATTTTTTTGGTTGTATTAATGAATACAACAACTTAAATACATGAAATACATTGTATAAAAACATAAAAGGTATCTATAACACGTAATATAGCAAAGGATATCTATAAATAACTAATTAGACCTAAAAGATGGTGCTTTATGAAAAATTCTCAAAGAAAATTTTAGATTATATACAACCTGGGCTATATCAGGTAAGGGCTTCAAATGTGGGCCATTTTTTGATGGACTGTTGGGCCAAGTGACAAGAGCGTAATATCCCCTATTATATTTAGTCAGTTCAGCTGGTAACTAACTCGATGATCATTAATATAATGCAGGAATTTTGGGTTAAAAACGTGATCAGTAGGAACATTCCAACCAAAACTGGGCTGTGGTTAAAGATAGAGCACTTGATTTTATTCACTATGTACATCTCAACTTACACGAGCCGGTTATGCATGTTCATAAAGAGCACATAAACTGTAATTGGTTAAGGTAAAAGTAATTCTGCTGTCTACTCGATATCCTTCATAGCATCCTGCATCAACGAAGAACAAGCAAGTTACGATCAACCATACCAACCGTCCTTTCAAGATAGAAGCGGAAAAGCATGCTTATACATATGCAAGTATCTGAATATAAGTTCGGTACGAGTATAATGTAAAAGGATCGGAAATGATCTGTGTTACCTTTGCAAGCCGTGTTACATAGGCTGCAGCAACTGCTGTAAACAATAAACCTATTCCAAGGGTCAATAGCTGTTGGTTTCCTCCTCCTAGACCAATTTCAGATTCCTCTTGCTGGAAATCAAGAAAAGTAAGAGTATTGAGACGGCTGCTAAGTTTCTAGTGAGTTTACAATGATTTACTTCTTTTTTCACACTAAGAAATAAATCAAAAACTTCCCAACCGAACAGAACTTCAAAGGTATCAACAACAACAAACCCAGCTTAATTCCATACGTTGGGTCTGGGGAGGGTAGTGTGTACGCAGCCTTACCCCTACCCTATAAAGGCAGAGAGGCTGTTTCCGATAGACCCTCGGCTTAAGGAACGGTAAAAATAAAGCAACAAGCAGTAACAGCAGTAATATAAATTTCGGAGAATAGTAAGGCCAAGAACTACAACATCTGAATCCGACACAATTTAGCGGCAGATGAAGAACTACTTCAGTAGCATTGTAAGAAGGAAAAAGATTAGCACAAGTCAAAATTGGTTTGGATCGCACATGCCTAAAACACCATTTCTGTTTTCTTCATCTGGATTAGAAACCCCCCCCCCCCCCCCCTCAAGTCCATTAAAACCAGATCACGATAGTTAGTTCTTAACTATGCAACTTCTATTAACTTGTCATGAATAAACATACACAAGCCTTGTCTGTACGAGACTGCAACTTGCACTATGTTATTCAACAAAGCAGTTTGTAATGTTTCCAGTAGACAGAAACTACTATAACTTGGAAAGTGGACACCATCTAAAGTTATTATCAACTGAAATTTACTTTGCCTACTTCCCTTAACAAAGAAACTGCAACTTCCACTGCAGGATTGAGAAAATAGAATCACAGAGTCATGACTGATGATAAGAAGGGACACGGTTCACAACTAAGAACACAAGATTTTTTATTTTTTTAAAAAGGAAAACTCACAATAAATGCGCGGCCAAATGCACCTGCACTCACGTATGCCCATGTTCCAGGAAGCATTCCTAGCCAACTATATACAAAGATAAGATTTTATCAAGATGAAGAGCATGCCAGAAAAGCTAAAAGACAGTCCTCAAAAGGCAGAACACCATAACTATGCAAAAAATTTTGATGCCCTAGATGAAGTTAGCATAAGCTGCAACTTTTCAGTAGCTAGAGCATTGCAATACCTTCACATGATACCTCTATCAACATAAAGAAATGTGTATAAAAGGCTATTTCCACAAGATTGTGATCAGTTCTGTAAAAGAATAAATTTCTTCAACAAATGAATTTTGCGACCTAAACAACAACAGGTGATCAAAGATGACGGTTACAGACACTTCAGTGTCACTTTACAAATGGAGAAAACAGAAAACGGTAAACAACTTGACACTACTTTCTTCATCCTCCAGAATATAGTTTGAGTACAGTTAATCAGCTAGCTAATTCTATTGATAAATAGCACACATCATAATATTACTGTAACTTGATTTCCTCTCTGAACCAATAAAGCCAACGCCTGATAGTGAAACAAGTAGTTTATGCAGAATACGTGTCAACAGCACAACGATATTAGACATCTGACATTAGCCAATGATGAAGAAAAAAGTAAACATAGAAAACTGAGTTCACCTTCCTAAAACGTATGGCACAAACTTGACCGAAGTCAGACCATACAGATAATTCCCAAGAGAAAAAGGAAGCAAAGGGCTCAAACGGAGAAGGGTAACAACTTTGAAACCATTTTCTCCAATTGCTTTGTCAATTGCAAGAAATTTCTTGTTCCCTTCTACCAGCTTAAGAATACGTTCACGAGCAAAATATCTGGCAATCAAGAACGCTACACTAGCAGCCACCTGAATGCATATCAAACTTTTGAGAACTTATTCTACATCATCATGCCACTATTGAACCAAATGAACAGCTTACCGTTCCACTAATGGAAACAATGATGGTTCCAGTTATGGAGCCGAATAAAAGACCAGCTGACATCGTCAATGGAATGGCGGGTATTGCAAGGATCTACAATAGGTGTTTCAGCGAAAGTCAGTTCAATTTAGAAACTCTGGAAACTGGCATCTCGTGACATTAAATCTGTTTGGAAGAAGAACTAGAAGACTGGTCAAATAAAGCCCAAAAGTGCAAGTCTAAAATACATTGGTATCCCTTTCAGCGATAATAAGACTATGAAATCTTACTACATTATTTTAGTTTACAGTACCAGCCTCCTACGAGCATCTTCTAAGCCAAAAAAAAAGAAAAAAAGAAAAAAAGGCAAGCACCACCTTTAAGATGCGAAAGGACCATCTACCATATTATACATCCAATAAGTTACTAGTATTTTCACACCAAAAAACAGTATGCCATTAACAAGTATTTTGCTGGAAGTTCTTGCAAGATTTTAAGCCAACAAAAATAGAGTATAGTTCGTACTTCTAACCCAGCATAAACTGCAATGAAGAGAGCGTATCCAGATGCTCCATAACCTGCCGTATGAGGAGCCTCAGTCAAGCTGAATTTACTTTTCTATACAAAAATTAAAGGAAAAACTTTTCACGTGATAAAACTGATGAAAGTTCAGCACATTCTTGATCTCTCAGTTTTGTTCAAAAAAGACCATCCAAAACTAAATTACGGAGCAGGGATTATCAGAATATTCTGAATCAAACTAGTTAACTAGCACCGAACCACTTGGACGACAAATCTTTACAAACAGGCTAACGAAGATAAAGAAGCTTTGAATGGGCAAGCAGTACCACTTGGCAAGGAAGAGGCGGCAGAAAATGGAAGAGGGCAAAAAGTAGAAATTCGCAAAATAGGCTATTTCACAGTTTAAGCAAAACTACAATGGTTTTCTATCTTCCCCTGATTCGCTTTATGTTCATTCCTCATTACAATTGCCTTGCCCTTGATTTAGATAGAGCTAGAAAGTGGCAAAGAAAGGTGTCCGACTATCATAACAAGTTGCCCGGCAAAAAATTCGTAATCTGTTGGATTGCAAGAATCACAGATTAGTAAAATCAGGAGATGATAATATTTAAGTGTTAGTCTACTCGTTTCCTCTTAATAATACTTGGCCATTCATGTGATGATTGGAAGACTTATTTTTCAACATAGATGAACTTGAATTTGGACTTGAGTTTGGGATTTAAATTAAAAGGATCCTGACTCAAATTAATTTTTTGTTGAACAGTTATTAGCAGAATGACTTATCTGTTCTAAATGATGGCAACTTTTTGAAACTGTACAACTGTTTAAGGTAACTCTCACATTCTTCAAATAAGAATGTGTTCCACCTCAAACACTAGAACTTCTCTGATAACCATAATGCGCTTCGTGTATCCTACGAAGAAAGTTGATTTGCTTATCCCAGATGTCAAGCAATCAGTATTTTGAGAAAGTATTTATACACACCCTAAAACCTTCTCTGTTTTCGATAATCTTACATCATTTATTTCCTAGCATTAGCACCAAAACCAGCTGAAAAAAGCTCATTAGCTCAGACGAACTTAATTCCCTGAACCATTTTCGGCTAAATAGGACAGGCTTGGTAATTTAGCAAGCTTCAGACTTTAATTGGTTCATGCAATCCAGATATATTTTCTGTTACGACCAACATTATAACTTTAACTACAACCAATTAAAATGGGGAAAAAAACGCAGCTATCAACTTTAGTTGTTGTGCCTAGTGTCCAACACTTAATATCCACAACCACTAAGGGAAACACAATACCAATACCAAGAATATTGTTACTTATCAATTAAAAAAAGAAGGAACCATAACAAGAATTGTTTAAGTAAGTAGTAAATAACAAGGTTCAAGTACTGGTGCTATGACATTAAAGGTGGAAAAACTAATTGGAAAATTCGTATGAAATTACCTTCAATAAAGCCAGAAAACTGGTTCAAGAAAGCATTGATCTGTTCCTTGTATAAGTACCCAACAGTTCCAAATCCACCAACCACACCCACAATCAAAAGACCAGCCAAAATGGTACCTTTAATAGCAGAATTATCATCATTTCCTAATCCACTATCCCTCTCACTCTCACTCTCATAATCATCATCCTCATTTTTGGGGTTCAAATTAAGCAGCTTCCTGAAGCTCTGAGGAGATTTATTTGGTGTTTTCAAAAGGGTTTGCTGTTTCTTGGTTTCCCTTAGTGAAGAACATGGTTTCAAGAAATGAAACCGTTTGGGTTTAAAACTATACAGAAACGAATTAACAGATGAATTTGAAAGGGAAAATTGAATCTTGAGTCCTTGTTGAAAAGGAGGCAAAAGGGTAACACATAGAGGTGTTCTGCTCAAATCAATGGTGAGCATTTCAGATGATAAATTAAAGGGACAGCAAAGTTGCTTCCTTTTTGAATTTCCTCTTCTTTTTGTTCTTTGATTGTTTTTGCTAAGGTTGTTTTGAGTTCATTTAAAGTGTTCATTGAGGACTGTTCTCTGCTTATTGTGAAATTTGTGTTGCTTGTCCCATGTAAGAGTGGAATATTGTAGAATCTACTATTGGTTCTGTGCTTTGATTCCGTATAAGATTTGTGATGTGGGGATGAATGAAATTGACTTTTGGTGATTGAAGGAAATCTGTGTTTCTTGTTGAAGCACGTGTTTTTTCCTCTTTATTCTCATGAATATTTTTCTTAAGACTCTTCTTGTTAAATGAAATGCTCAATTTCCTTAAGGCGGAAAAGGGCAAAAAGGAAGCAAATTTTCTTTTCAAGTGGGAGGAAACAAAAACATTGTTTGTCATTGTTCACTTTGTTTAGAAGAGAATAATAAGATTAGGAATGAACTTATTTGGGGCAAGGCGAAAGTGGCTACCGTGAAGAATAAGATGCAGGAAGCGAAATACGAGCATGTGAATGAGAGGCACAGGAGGTGCGAGAGGTTGACATGACATTGCTCTAGTAGTGTGCATGTCAAGAATTAGGGTAGAAGGGTATTAGTTAGTCTGAATATTTTTCTTCTCCATACCAATAGTATTAGTGTTAGTTTTGTATTTTCTTATTCTTAGGTTTCTTATACTATCTTTCTCTTCAGTTTTCTTATTATCTTGTTGTTGTTACTACAACAACAACAACCAACCCAGTGAATTCCCACAAGTGGAGTCTGGGAAGGATGGGATGTACGTAGCATTACCCCTACCCTGGAAGGCAGAGAGGCTGTTTTCGGTGTCTTGTTGTTGTTACTGCTTGTTATTAATGCTTCTTTTTCATTTTTACTTGAGCCGAGGGTCTATTGGATACAACCTACCTATAGGTAGGGGCAAGGCTATGTATACACTACCCTCCCCAGAACCCACTTATAGAGTTATACTAACTTTGTTATTGTGATTCTTAGAAAGGAAGAATAAAGATTGAAATATTATGTTTGACCAGGATAATAAATTTCATAGATTAACTATATCGTCAACTATTATTATGGAACATTTTAATGGGTTACTTCTAATTTTGCAATTACTATTTTCTTTGCGGTTGATATATAAATTATGATGTTCTTCTTGAGTTGTCACCACTCCATTCCAGTTTTCCTTGAAGAGCATAATATTCCATCAAAAATGCCTTTTTTTGGGTAAAGAGGATTATATAAATATAATATGTTAATAAATAACACAATATTTATTAAATAACATAAAAATAAATATTTAATGCAGTAGCGATTGACATAGATTAAAATTGAAAATACGTTAAATAACATAATGGTACGAGAAAACTACAACAATAATTTAGTACTCTGGTAGGTCGCTTTCAAATCTACTAATATCATTAAAATATTAAGTGTATGAGACAGAGGATTGTTGTGGTTGTTGAAATTGTTTGACTTCTTTTATCCATTATTCGTTTTTGTTCTTGTCGGATAAATTCACGAATATTTGAATCATCAATAGAATCTAAATTCGACAATAAAATTTTATTTTCTTCTTTAAATTCTTTAGTTTTAAAGCTCTATCTTTTATCTCCATATCTCGTTGTTTGTCTGCACTTGACTTTGCCAACGACTCAACAAGCTGATTCTTCATCGATTTTTCTCTTCAATTTTTCTTTCTTCACCCCAACAAGTTGTTCAGATGATGTGAAATCACCTGCAACATCCTCATGCAAATTTAGTGAAAATAATGATAAATTAGGAGCTGATACTAGAGGTGAATCAGGAGTATGAGTCTCAGACTCCGATGATATATAAGAAGAGCCTTGCTTTCGAACTTTTTTTCTTCCAGCTTCGACATCTTTAAACTTCTCAAAATCTTTCAACATATCCCACACATGATCAAATTTCTAAAAAAAATTGTAGTTCTAATCTTACATAAGTAAACTTTTTGCTTGATTAATCTGCAATATTTTTAAAAAATTGAAGGAAAACTGTAAGTAAATATATAGAAATAAAGTATAAGTAATTACAAAATAAATACTCATAATATCTTTATCTGAAGCACCAATAGGATGCAAATTTTCAATTTGACGTACACATCCATTTAACTTTCTTATATCCTTCTCAATAACTTGAATTCGAGATTGCACTGATCTTTTGTTGTGATACTCCCAACACCCGATCTTTCGTTGTGATACTCCCAACACAAATATTTTGCATTATTGTATGCTTCTTCCACTCGATCCCAAAAATGATCTCTAAATTGATATACACCCGTTATTGGATCTTGAAAGACATCTAAATAAACTTGGCATAATAGCATATCTTCATTGGTAGAATATCATGTAGATCGAGTGGATATTTTTGCAAGTGATTAGAGAAAAGTGGATTATATGATTAAAGAATAACAAAACCAACTTCATATGGAAGGGTATATTGGCACTTTAATATATATATAGATATAACTAGAGCTAAAACTTGAGTTAATACATATTTAGATTTCATCTTGATCTCGATCGTTGGATGGATTTCATCGTAATCTCAACCGTCGGATGGATTTCATCCTTATCTCAAATTTATCTTTAGATAAAATATCTCTACACATTCTTCAATATGTAGAGATAAAATAGACACAATTATTGACCGAAAAATAATAGGATAGATTTTATTTTGATCTTAATCGTCGGATAGATTTCATCCTAATCTCAAATGTTAGATGAATTTCATCCTTATGTCAAATTTATCTTTAGGTAAAATATCTCTACACATTCTTCAATGTGTAGAGATAAAATAGACATTATTATTGACCGATAATAATAGGATAAATTTCATCTTGATCTCAACCATTGGATGAATTTCATCTAAATCTCAACCGTTTGATGGATTTCATCCTTATCTCAAAATTGGTTATCCCGTATAAGGCGGTCTTTATCTGCTTATTTAAGTATACATTACGCGGTCTTTATTTCTTTGGTCTTAGGATTCCATGTACCTCATATTGAATTGTTGAATTTAGCAGCGACTAACTCAAAAAAGAAAGAAAGAAACAGCAACATCGTTAAGTAATACAAGCGTCAAATATCAAAAGGCCAAAAATTGATGCTACCTTGTTGTTGTTCAAAGAACAAGTACTACCAAAAAAGGGGAAAATATAAAATCATTACTTATTCGAGAAGGAAATTTTTTGGTATATTAAAAATTTAACTTTCGGTAAAATATCTCTACACATTCTTTAATGTGTAGAGATAAAATAGACACAATTATTGACCGGATAATAATAGGATAAATTTATCTTGATCTCAACCGTCGGATGGATTTCATCCTAATCTCAACCATCGGATGGATTTCATCCTTATTTAAAATTTATCTTTAGATAAAATATCTCTCACATTTCTCAATGTGTAGAGATAAAATAGACATAATTATAAACCGAAAAATAATAGGATAGATTTTATTTTGATCTTATCGTCGGATAGATTTCAACCTAATCTCAACTGTCAGATGGATATCATCCTTATCTCAAATTTATCTTTAGGTAAAATATCTCTACACATTCTTCAATGTGTAGAGATAAAATAGATACAGTTATTGACCGATAATATTAGGATAAATTTCATCTTGATCTCAACTGTTGGATGAATTTCATCATAATCTCAATCGTCGGATGGATTTTATTCTTATCTCAAAATCAGCTATCCCGTATAAGGTGGCCTTTATTTGCTTATGTAAGTATACATAAGGCGATCTCTATCTTTTCGGTCTCAGGATTCCCCGTGCCTCTTATTGAATTGTTAAATTTAACAGCGACTAAGTCAAAAAAGAAAAAAGAAACAGCAACAACGTCAAGTAATACGCGCGTCAAATATCAAAAGGCCAAAAATTGATGCTACCTTGTTGTTATTCAAAGAACAAGTATTACCAGAAAAAAGGGAAAATGTAAGATCCTTATTTCCCTGAGAAAGAGCTTTTTTGGTACATTAAAAATTGAACTTTAGGTAAGAATATCTCTACACATTCTTCAGTGTGTAGAGATAAAATAGACACAATTATTTATCGTACATTAATAGGATAGATTTTATCTTAATCTCAACTGTCGGATGGATTTCATCCTAATCTCAACCGTCAGATGGATTTCATCCTTATCTCAAATTTATTTTTAGGTAAAATATCTATATATATTCTTTAATGTGTAGAGATAAAATAGACATAATTATTGATTGGATAATATTAGGATAGATTTTATCTTGATCTCAAACGTCGGATAGATTTCATCCTAATCTCAAGCATCCGATGGATTTCATATCTCAAATTTATCTTTAGGTAAAATATATCTACATATTATTCGATCAATAAAATAAACATCATTTAGGAAAATAACTCAGAATTTCCAATTTATTTCAAAATCAAATCAGATATTCTCTTTTGTCTTTTGAAAATGAATTTCTATACTGGAGGTTCATCTAATAATAATGATAAAAATTCCTCTTCATCATCATCGTCTTTAGATTTAGATGATACAGTCACGACCCTAAAACCGACCCGGTCGTGATGGCGCCTATCATGAAACTAGGCCAGCCGACACAAATCCCAAATCAAACCAGTATTTCATAAGAGACATTTCTAAGCTATTAGTTAATAAGATTTCATAACATGAGTCTAAATAACAAGTGCGAAAAATAACACAAGCCCGACATCGGGGTGTAACAAGTCACGAGCATCTACTAAGGTCTGTCTAAGTACAATAAAGACTATCATAGTCTGGAAATAAAGATACTAAAAACAGTCTGAGGAAGATATGAAGGAGAAGTGCAAGGCTGCAAATGCCATGCAGCTACCTTGCCGACTCCGAAAGACCTGCTGGATGAACGATCAACGCTCACTATCGCGACCCGCAACTCCTGGATCTGCACACAAGGTGCAAGGAGTAATGTGAGTACGCCAAAACTGAGCAGTCAAAAATCGGATAATTCCACGTCATAGCATTACAGTAAGTACAGTACGTTTCCAAAACAGTATAGAAATCATTTATCTCATTAAAAATCCAATTTCAGTAAAAATTCTTTAAAAATGTCTTTCTAACAGTTTCAACAAAGAATCAATGAAGTTTAGAGTAAAAATAATGAAAGTAATAAATAGCCCCTCGGGCAAGACATGTATCATAAACCGCTCCTCGGGCATAATATCAACAGAACCAGCCCCTCGGGCTACCTCACAATCACCCGTAATTAGCCCCTCGGACACAACATGTATCAGGATTAGCCCCTCCGGCAACAACATATCACTCACTCT